AACACTTGTCCTAGGTATCTAAAGCATTGTGGTTAGAGTAAAACCATTGCTTGGCCTTTCCTAAAAAGAGAAGGGGAAAAGGCGAAGACATATAGCCTCTTGGCTCACTCCCTTAATGGTGAATGTGCTACAAATCTCTAAGAAATGTTGGAGGTGAGCATTACGCATCCTCGTGGGCTTTCCCATAGAACGGACTAGCTTGAACCATCATAATTAATTACTTGGCTTAAGCTTAAAGTTAAGCGTCCCCATTGATAACATTGGGTTCGGTGGCTACATTAGCGGTAGGGTACAAAAAATCACGAATGGACTTATCGCCCATGATCGTGTAGGGAAGTGATAGGATATGAGGAAAAAGGATAAACTAACTAGGATAACTAACAAGAACCTACCTAACAAATTCAGCCTTATAAATTCAATTCTAGTTGCCTTCCCAAAGCAATGGCGCCGTAAAATGCTTGTTGATATTTCTTAATGACTATTGGAGGATTCCACAAGCGCATAGAACTACCGCGTAGCACTTCGCTCAGTGAGTACCGAGTGTCAAATTTATATTTTTCCTATAGGAAGGCGGAACACTAGAATTTATAAGTGGACTAGGATTTTCTAGAGGAAGGCTTGAGTTGATCCTAGGTAGGTGAATGATAGTGGAGGATGAGTGTGAACTACCTAAACTAACTACTAAATACAAGCTAACCAGAGATAGCTAGGTGGAAGAGCGAGCGATTTATCTTTCTAGTAACTAAGGGTAAACAAATAACTAGGAGAAATGCGATAGTACTTTGAGACATAGCCCGCCTACCAACTATGAGAGTTAAATAGATAAGGTCTGCCACGAGCTCTATGATTTAATAACTAGACCTATCATGGTGGAATACAGAGAATGGACAAGGCTGTCACCACTTGCCACCTAACACATCTAACCGGAGGCCTAGCCATATCCACAGGTAATCTATAGCCTAAGCACCATGCTTAATCTATAAACTTACTACTTCGATCTGAGCTCCGATGAAATGAGATCAAAGCACCCTAACTAGACGGTGGAACCGGTACTAACGAAAGACTACTAATGATAAGATAACCTATGCTACTAATGCCAAACAACAAGTGCCTAAGCTCACTAATGATGAACACTAATGACTAAGTACTTAAAGTAAAGCAAGCAATACTAGAATAAAATCTTTGAAATAAATCTTTGAATAAAGTAATGCGAAATAAAAGAATTACAAAGGAGCTATACTGGACCCGGAAGACTCTTCGGACTGGGGAAGCTCGCTCTTCTCTCTCTACTACTAGACTACTACTCTATAGCTAAAGCTAAGCTAGAAAGCTAAGAGAAGCTTGGAAATGAATGGGGCAATTCTCCACCGAGGCTCTACACCCACTATTTATAGTGTATAGTGAGGGAGGGGTATTTAGCTAGCAGTGGGGGAGGTGGGTGGCCACCCTAGGGCGCCCCGGCGGCAGACAGAGGCGCGGCGGCCAACCCTTAGATGCACCGCCTTAGCATCCAAGGGTGTTGGTTGCTCCTCCAAGGCGATTCTGAAGACAACACATGGTGAAATTTGGATGGTAAGTTGGTTGGTGAGGCACCAAGCCTATGACAATGGGCCCATGGATCCATGACCTCTCCATCGTGACCCTTGGTCGGAACCAACTTAAATCAACGCTTAGCATTGCATCTGGAGGAACTCCCATGGGTCGATGATGTGGCAAGGTGTCAACCCCGCCACGTTCACTTGCTCCATATGTCTATATTTGTCACCATTTTGGCCAAACTTTGGTATATTTCACATGTATACAAATAATTCTACAAGCACAAGTGGAACTAGGTGAAATTTAGACATAATTCTTCACATGTGATGATGATTGACCTCACTTTACCATGCTTTTGGGTGGAATATTAATGGTCAAACGGTGTTAGTGACCGTCAACAATGACCCAAACCCGATCTGGTCACAGGCAATAGTGTTTTACTCCGGATACAAACTAAACTCATCTCTAGCGCATATGGTGATGTGTGTTGTGGTGGTATGGTTAGGATCTACTACAACCGGGTTCGGTGGCGAGATCCATGAGATGCGATGAAGGGATTGCTCGTTTTTGTATGTGTTATGTCGTATGCGATGTAATATTTATGGATTAAGGCATGCCATAAATTGCCTAAATATTCAACGAGATCTTTGACACGTAACCAAGTAAAGAACTCTGCTTTTCTTCGGCAAATGGACTTTGCCTTGAAGTAGCAGAAGGAGCCCATGCACTGTGCTAGATAGGTCGACTTGAAAGTATAAACACCAGGATTCAAATTTTTGATGAAATTTTGCTGAAATTTTGCAAATTTTGGTAATTTTGGTGGTGGCCAAAAGCAAAATCCGAATTTTGTAATACATCGATACATGTGCTATATAACTCTAGACCTATATTTTCTATTGTTTATGTTGCATAATCTTCTACTCAATAGATGTGGTCATAAATCATGTTAATATTTGTTTAAATCTAAATATTTTTAGAAAAGCATACTTCATGTGCTAGTATCTAAAAAAATTCAATGAAATTTCTATTTAATTTAAGTGAAATTCGTAATTTAGTGGGTGGCTGAAATTTTGTGATACCAAAATTAAAAACCTTGATAAGCACCATCAATCGTCCACTTTTAGGGCTCCTCTGGATTATAGGATTTTCAAAGGAATTTTGGAGGAATATTAACGACAAAGGAAGTTTCCTATCCTATGGTTTGGCTAGCAAGAAGCGCCACTATTATTCCATAGGATTTCATTCCTTTGTGGGTTGATTCCATAGGATTTGTAACATCCACCTAGATTTCTTGAAACATTCCTCACATACGAAGTACGAGTAGTTAAATGTTGATGCTAGCAACTAATGATCTATTATGACTTGTTCTACCCAATCAAAGAGATGAAACACATGCAAAGTATGCACTTGGTGTTATTTTTTATTTAACCTTGGCATTCCCGCAAAACAAGTCCTTTGATTTCCTATGGTGTTACCAAATAGCTTCTCATCCATTTCCTATGCTTTTGAATCCTATAGAATTAGAGAAACAAAACATATCAATTCCTCGTTTTTTCTATTCCTACATTTTTTCTTATCCTGTGTTTGCAAAGGAGGCCCTACTCGATTGTGTCTTTTTTATCGGCAGCTAAACGTCTTGTAATAAATCCCATAGTTTCACAAATTTAGGATGTGTCTAGGGCCGGTGACACACCGAGCATTTAAGGCACATCGGACACTCGATTGGGAAAAAGAAAAGAATCGAGTGTTTCTAATCCTATCTACACTCGATTGCCGTGACCGTTAGATCCCGATCAAATAAACCAAAAAATGATCCAAATACTACAAAAATATTAAACAAACAAAACAAAAAATAGCCAGATTATTTTTATGATAGCCAAATTAGAGAATTTCAAAGGAAATCAAATAAAACATTCAAAAATTGAAAAAAAACAAAAAAATCGATAAGCTGCTTCAAATAATTACGATCAATTATAATTAGGAATAATCAATTTATATCAATTAAACATAGAATTTACACCAAAAGCAGAGAAAGTGTAAAATATGGTCCAATACGATGTAATCTGCTCATACTAAAGTACCAAGAAATAATACAATTATAGCGGGTGTCACGTTTTAGTATCTCGAGTTTAACCAATTATAGATAAAAATATTAATATTTATGGTATTAAATAAATACTATTAGATTAATTACGAAATGTACTTTCATAAAAAATAATTTAGAATCATAAATGCGAATATTATTCACTACAAATTTTGTCAAACATAAACTATTTTTACTGACACGCAACCCGTTGTTGCATTCTTTTGTTGATGGAGCGAGAAATGAATCTGCATATATACAAACTAGATGTCAAAGGGCTAGGTGATTTGATGTGACAGAGACAAGTCCGTGCACCAAAGTGGAGTAGTAGCAAGCACTGCAACGACGATCTAAGAGGGTGTTTGGTTTCTCCTCCTAAACTTTAGTCGCTATCTCATCGGATGTTTGGACACATGTATGGAGTATTAAATATAGACTAATTACGAAACTAATTGCACACGACTTCGACTAATTTACGAGACGAATCTTTTAAGCCTAATTAGTCTATGATTTGATAATGTAGTGCTACATTAAACATGCGCTAATGACGTATTAATTAGGCTTAATAAATTAGTCTCCTGAAGTGATTATATAATTTATTTTTTATTAGTATCTGAACACCCCATGTAACACCCTCACATAATACCTCTTAAATTTTAGTCACCGGATTCCAACACCCCCTGACTCACCTGCACCTGCCGACCACCCTGCCACGCCCATGGTTGCGCATGGTCCCGGGCACCAGCAGCATGCAGGGCTTGCAGGGCGCAGGCGCCCGACCACCCCCTGCCACCTGAGCCCCACACGACCGCGAGCGTACACCATCTTCGAATCTGCATGCATGCAGGCAGCGGTGCAGGGGCCAGGTGGGGGCCATGTGGAGCACAGGAGATCAGCGGACTAAAGATCCAACGCTCAGGAAATCGAGTGTGCGGAGGAGAAAATTACTCGAGCAATCAATAGCTTTAGCGCAAATGTAGCCATTCTGTGTGATGTTCTAAATCCTTCGTCCAATTCATGTTGTTAAGGTCGTCTTTAACCAATTGATTCTCCTCCATGCCAAAGGGTATCAATGTCAACCGATGCTTTACCATTGATCTAGAATCAAAGACTTTGCTTGATCCTCTCTTCTGACTTACTCCCTTCGCCACCGCATGTCCGTGGGGCTCGCATAGGTACAGATGTCTAGCGGCACGTCTCCCTCGGCGGTTCAGACCAGCTTCCGCCAATCCCTCCCTCCCTCCCCTCCAAAGGGGGGCTCCCGTGGCTCCCGTTGCTCCGCCATTCTCTCTCTCAAGTCTCGCCTTGTTCCTACCTGCATTGCCCATCCCCGCACTCCTCTCCTCCTAGCGACCCTATCACCCACCCGCGCGCGAACGCCATGGGAGAAGCCCTGATAGGCAGGCTGGAGGCGGCGGTATCCCAGCTGGAGGCACTCAGCGGTGGGGCACGTGGCGGCCTGTCCGACACTGCATCAGCACAGGACCCGCCGATCGTGGCCTTCGACGATCTTGTCGCCAGCGCGCTCGGCAGGGTGTCCGCGGCCGCCGGCAAGATCGGGGCGGACGTCGCCGAGGTGACGGGATTGGTGGAGAGGGCGTTCTTGGTTGGGAAAGACCTTCTTGTCAGGACCAACCAGACACAGGTGCGCCTCTTGTTCGTCTCAGCTTTCCTATCTCTCTGTGAATGACAGTGAAGTCTGAAATCTTAACATGGGAAATAAAGTATTTGAGCATTTGATACATTTGTGCGGTTGATGATCAATTGTTTCAATGCTTGTGATTTGGTACTCGGTAGAAACCAACAATGGAGTCAGTGACGACGTTTATGGGGCCTCTGAATGAAACGATCTTGGAGGCCAACGCATTGGCGGAGGGGACGAGATCGATCTATGCCAACCATCTAAAAGCAGCTGCTGGTAGCCTGGCCGCTTTGGCATGGATTGGTTACACAGGCAAAGGTTGCGGTAAGTATCAACTATCACGTTCCAACCTTTTGGTAAATTATTAATTATGTGATGGGGGGCTGAAACACATGCCAATACATGTTCTGCTGCTGCTCATGTATGTTAAAGTGGGAGCCTAACTGGATTTTGTATATCTCTTCAGGTATGCCTCTTCCGATTGCTCATGTAGAAGAGAGCTGGCAAATGGCAGAGTTCTACAGCAATAAGGTACATTACTCACAGTTGACAGCTTTTCTAATATGATACTAGGGTTCATCTGTTCCAAAAATATGCACCTAGACAATATGTAAAGGGATTAGTGATTGAAGGAGGAAATGATCAAATGAATCCCTTATCAGGTACCAAGTTCTAGGGCAAAAATGTGTAAACAATACAGTAAAACTCAAGGCTCCCAAGAAAATGGAAATGTGAAGTTCAAAGACCGTGTCCATACTTAAAATTTATATTAAAAAATACATGTTTTATAAAACAAAAACAAATTCAGAGCTAATTAATAACAGTCGAAAAGGACCACCAACTGCTTACTTAGCATAACACAATTTCTAACTAAGCCTGTTCAGAGATTAACTTTAGTATAATTGATTTCCTAAGCATATATAGATTTAATCTTGTTAGTGTTGGACAATGATATCACAGGTGCTTGTGGAATACAAAAATAAGGACCCTGATCATGTGGAGTGGGCTAAAGCCCTAAAAGAGCTTTACGTGCCCAATTTGCGTGATTATGTGAAGAGGTACTACCCATTGGGTCCTGCATGGCAACCGCCAGGAAGTGCAAACAACAAGGCACCTTCAGTTCCGTCCGCTCCTACATCTCTTTCCATCTCTTCGGCCTCATCATCCCACCCAAAATCTGGAATGTCAGCAGTATTTGCTGAAATCAGCTCTGGGAAACCAGTGACACAAGGTCAGCTCAGTATGAGTTTTCATTTGATTTTCGGTTGAACAACTCGTACACCTGCCCAATTCATGCACTAAAATTATGTTACAGTTACTGCTTCACCTTCTTGTTATATATACAGGCCTCAGGAAGGTAACTGATGACATGAAGAGCAAAAATAGAACAGACAAAACAGGTGTTGTAGCTGCTGAAGGAAAAAGAAACTCGCAATGCACCTTCCTTTAGCTCAACTAAAGGTCCTGCTAAATTGGAGCTCCAAATGGGTCGCAAGTAATGTTATGCTCCTTCCTATCCAGAAATGCGAATAAACCATCAATGAAACAATCTCACTCGATTAATGTCATTCTCTATCAGATGGGTGGTTGAGCATCATGTTGGGAACAAGAGCTTAATTATTGAAGATTGTGATACCAAACAGTCGGTGTATGTATATGGATGCAAGGATTGTGTGCTGCAAGTCAAAGGTACTTTCCCACCAAAGTGCTACGAATAAATCTTCATTCTTTTTAAGAGAAAACAATAACCGTCCAAGCGTATATGTGGACACTGTTGTGCAGGGAAAGTGAACAACATAACAATTGATAAGTGCATCAAAGTAGGAGTCTTATTCAAGGTACATCTGTTGACAAACCAACACAAACTTCCAGGGAATTCTTGTTGTTTCATTAACTTGTCATGTATTGTTATCAGGGGGTTGTAGCGGCTTGTGAAATTGTGAACTGCAACAGTGCAGAGGTCCAATGTGAGGTAGATTTTCTTCCAAACATATATATAGCAGCGCTCCCATGCTATGTGATTGTTAAGATAACATATTTACTTGTATCAGTTCATGCAAATATCTTATGCTTTTTAGTGATTTTTTTTAACGAATTATGCCTTCTAATGATACTACAGGGCTCAGTTCCGACTATATCAATAGACAACACATCTGGCTGCCAACTTTACTTAAGCAAGGAATCTTTAGAGACATCTATAACAACCGCTAAATCAAGTGAAATCAATGCTCTTGTTCCAGATGCAAACACTGACGGTGATTGGGTGAGTACTCTACTGACTTCTTTCGTTTAGACCGAGGCCCTCCTATTTTACTTTCAAAGTTACCAATGAATTACAATGGATGGAACCAAAGTTGATTTTAATTAAGTAAACTGAAACTTTCAGTTTTCTGTTTTTCATGACCCTCAATATTTTTTAACTTCATATTTCACCATCCAGCATTTACACAATCATTCTGGCAGAATATGGAGAAAGTTGAAATGATGAAGACCATAGTTGCTTTTATATAAATAAAATATACGCTGGTCTTGAGTACTCTTTCATTTTGCTGAACTGTTGCAGGCCGAGCATTCCTTGCCCCAGCAGTATATTCACGCGTTCAAAGACGGACAATTTACAACATCTCCAGTGTCTCATTCTGGCGCTTGATTGTCTGCACGGCTGCCATTTGTTATTTTCGTTTGTTTACATCAGCTAGCTTACGTGCCGTCTGGACTTGTATTTTGTAGTTAGCAAGGTAATTAGATATTAGAACGGGTCAATTTTGATAGCTTGACTCACTTATTGGGCTGTTTCTTCTTCCTCTCCTTATTAATTTAATCATAGATGTCACAAAACAAAAGTATCCTTTTGCTGTCCTAACTTGTGATAATGTCATTCAGACATTAATCAGGATAATACATAGTAATTTTGCAGCTCAGTTAATTGTCTGTCACTTTCAAAGCAATAAATGTTTAATAGCAAATACTCAATCTTGAACTTTCATTTATCTAGATAACATATCTTGTACATGGTTGACTGCTTCTAGTCTAAACCGTTTTCTGTATATCTTTTTTTAGCTTGTTCAGCACAAAAACCAACTAAAACCGGGGTCGTTTTCGTATTGAAAGAACTCAGGCCCTCAGGGGCATCAACACGATGATCCGTTGGAAAATCCAGACGCCAGCTTTGCTCTCAGATCCTTCCTCAAAATCTTGCCAGATGGCGCCTTCAGGATAGCCTCCACGAAGAAGATCTTGTGCAGCCTCTTGTAGAACACCACCTGTTTCGCCACGTACTGTTTGATCTCGTCCTCGGTGATCTCAGAGCCACCGGAGGTCACGACGAACGCCACCGGGATCTCGCCGCAGGAGTCATCCTTCAGTCTGCACCGGACCAAGTATCAAGCGAACGTTGTTCAGAACTTGTGCAACTCGACCGAGAATGCGTGGGAAGGCCGGTGGCTACTTACGGGACGGCGGCGGCGTCGGCGATGCTGGGGTGGGCGATGAGCATGGCCTCGAGCTCCGCCGGAGCGACTTGGAACCCCTTGTACTTGATGAGCTCCTTGAGCCGGTCGACGATGAAGATCTCGTCGTCGTCGTCGACGTACCCGATGTCTCCGGTGTGCAGCCACCCCTCCGAGTCGATGGTATTCGCCGTGGCCTCCGGGTTGTTGAGGTACCCTGCGCGTACCAGACCGGCAGCCAATGTGTCACCTTCAAGCTGCCCCTTGTCTGGAGTAGACAGAAGTGTTTGTTTGTAATTTGTGCAAGAAGGAAAAAAACCGGGTACCTTTCATCAACTGCTTGCCCCTGATGCAAATCTCCCCGGGCTGGTTGCGGGGGAGGGACAGCCCGGTCTCCGGGTCGATGATCTTGAGCTCGGCATTCCTCACCACCGTGCCGCAGGCGCCGGACTTCACCGGCAACGGCTCCTTGGCAAACGCCATGCACATTGAGAGCACCGGGCCTGCCTCTGTCATCCCATAGCCCTGTCCGAGCACGGCGCGAGGGAGCTTGGCGCGCAGCATGTCCTGCAGCTCCTTGCCCATGGGCGCGGCCCCCGAGATGACCATGCGCACCGAGGAGAGGTCGTGGCTGTCGATGGCGTCGCTCTTGGCCATCTCCACGGCGATGGGCAGCACGAGCGGGACGATGGTGATGCGGTGCCGCTTCACCAGCTCGAACATGCGGAGGGTGTCGAAGCGCTTCATGATCACGAGCGCGGCGCCGGCGCGCATCCCGCACAGCAGGATGGAGTGCAGCGAGTACACGTGGAACATGGGCAGCACGCAGAGCACGACGTCGTCCTCCCGGAAGTGGAGGTTCGGGTTGTCGCCGTCCACGAGCTGCGCCACGCTGGTCACCAGCCCGCGGTGCGACAGCATCACCCCTTGGGCAGCCCCGTCGTGCCGGACGAGTACGGCAGCGCGACCACGTCGATGGCCGCCTCGGGCAGAGGCGAGGTCGGAAAACGAGACGCAGCCCTCGGCGCCGTCGCCCGTTGCGACGACGGTGACGCCGGCGAGCCCCCGCACCTTGCCGACGAACGCCAGCTCGGTGATGACGACGGTGGCACCGGAGGCCGCCGCCTGCTTGGCGATCTCGGGCGGGGTGTGGAGCGGGTTGGCCGTGGTGGCGGCGGCGCCGAGGCGGGGAGCACGCGATGAACGCAAGCGCGAACTCCACGGAGTTTGGGAGCAGCAGCATCACCGTGCCCCCGCTGCGGACGCCGAGGGTGGCGCGCATCCCGGCCGCGACGCGGCGCAACAGGCGGTCCACGTCGCCGAACGTGAGCGTCTCGCCCGTGGCGCCGTCGATGAGGCACGCGCGGTCGCGGCGCTCCGTCAGGCGCTCCAGGACGTAGTCGTGGAGCGGGAGGTGGTCCGGGATGGCGATGTCGGGAAGCGTCGAGCGGAACACCGTCGTCGTCTCGGCCGGCGGCTCCGTCGGCGACACCATCTTCTTCCGAACCGGCGGAGGTGGAGGTGTCAGGTGTGGCGCTGGAGGCTGGAGCTACGTGCAAGAGCCAAGAGGCTTGCTGCTGCTTCCGGGTTGGTGGCGCTGGATCGGAGTCGGAGCTATGTGCAAGGATGGATGTATGGCAGGTTTCCAGCTCCTGGGGAGTGGTGGAAGCTCCAGAGAGCTGACCTGATATAGGCGCGCGCTTGGTGTTTGGTGGGGATCTGAAACTGGTGGCGTTTCATTATAGGATGACTGGACCAGGTCTACCTAGAGACCACATCCTTGTAGTAGTCCACAGGCCCGACAGCGTGAACATTAAGGCCCAGTTCGCTTCGCTGAAAACAAGCTAAAACACTGTTCCAGCTGATTTGCTGTGAGAGAAAAATATTGTTCTGACTAAAAAAAACTGAAAAAAAAAACGGATTGTAAGATAAGCGAACAGGGTCTAATTTGACGCTACATAACAGTAATTCTGTCTGAGCAAACACGGCCTGGAAATAATTGAATCAACTTAGGGGGTGTCCTCTAAATTCATTATATAGTCAGTGCTATTAGATGTCCTAGTAGGACTTAGATATACATAATCAAACACGACTTAACATCTACTTGTAATATGATACAAGTTGTATTAGATCTAATCTTATTATATCTCTGTAGAAATATATCTTTAATTATTTCTAATCATACGCATCTGTACTTTAAATACACTTTTCATTCGAACGTGAACTCATAGATATATCTTTATATGTGCTATAATTCATGTCGACTATGTTAGGCTGATCTCCACCAAGTTGGTCCAACGGCCAATTTAGCTCTTTGATCTGCGCTCTGATCGGGGGCGTCCAACCCAATCATGGTTGGTGGTCCCCCGTCGTGCAGCGCTATAAAGAGAAAGGTGGGGGCCGGGGCACTGGGCACGAGGTTCACCGTAGCCGCCGTTTTCCCCACCTACATTCTAAACCCTAACCGATCAAGGGAGCGCTGTGAGTGACGAGAAGCGCCACCGCCTTCGCCGCCGCCACTGGATCACGCCTTCACTGTACTGCGTCCGACTTCGACACCGCCGTCGGACTCCAATGCTACCCCTACACCGACACCCGTTCATCAACACCGAACACCGACGCCATGGCCAGCTCCTCCGCCAAGCCCACTGAAGGTCAGCCACCTCGTTTTCCCTCTCTCTCTCTCTAGTTCTTGTTCTAGGTTTGTTTATCCCAAATGCAAGTGAATACACCCACTGATCTACACATAGTCGGTCCGCTAGTTATCACAAACTATTGTACCAATGTAGAACTGTTTGCTCTTTATGGACGGCATATGTATTTGGTTACATATTCCGATGCACTTTTATCAACGATTTTTAATCAAAGGTGTAAAATACTAGCTTGGCCCGAAAGTATTTTTTGTTTGCTCCTCGCCGGCGCCGCTGACCCAAGCAGCGGGTGTCTGATTTGGGACACCTGGGCCAGGATCGAATGCCTTGCAGAGCGCAGAAACAAACAGGCCTCGAATGTATGATTATGAGTTGCGGTTCACCTCTCTTAACTTTGAATAAGATTCTTGCTTGTAAGACTTATTTGGATTAAGATATTATTCTAATCAAGTACAATATTTTGCATTACATCCCTCTTTATTGGCACTAAACTAAACACGAACATTAATTGGGACCTGTTCTTACAGTGTTCTTTGATGACTTAATTTTCTCCATGCCTTTCGTTAGTGCGAATTGTATATTTCTAATAAATAATATTATCTACTCGGCGGCACTTTGTCAGCCTCTTTCAAACGGACCTAAGCTCATCGATTTAAGTGTTCAACACCTCGTAAGTCCTTTCCTATGATTTAAAAGTCATTCCAACATTACGGTCCTCTGCAACGCGCATAAATTTTACAGGAATTATATAAAAGTTTCACAAGAATCAGTTTATTTTTCATAGCAAAACATAGAAAAGGAAAAAAAAAAACCACGTTCCAAGAATGATCAAACTTGGCCAACTTTATGAACCATCCTATGTACGGTGTTATGAATTAAAGTTGTATTATCACACTATAAAATATTATATTGTCTCGATATTTTTACTCATAGTTTTGTTACCTCATTTGGTACTTTCCCCCGCTATTGATTCAGGTGCGTTTTCATCGTCATGCGTGCCGGTATCGATAGTAGTGATAGGGCTGTTTGGTTGGGTGGCTAATCATAGAGTCAAGATGAACTTGTTTGATTGGCTGTAAATGGATTGGAGCCTGGCTTTCGGGGCCATTCGTACGCCTCTAGCCAGGCCAAGAAAGAACGAGATCCGATTCCATTTTTCTGGAGCCTGGCTTGGCCAGGCCTCCCCGCGCGTCTCCTCACCGTCTCGGAGCACTTCTCGCTCGACCTCTCCAAGACGGAGGCGCTCACGCAGGCCTTCCGCCGTGCCATCCAGCGGCCTTCCGCAGAGTTCGGCGCCGCTCCTCCGCATCTCCTCGTGTCCGCAGAGCTCGGCGCCGCTCCTCTGCATCTCCGCATCTCCTCGCATCAGCAGAGGCTGTCCATCGTACGACGCCTCTCCTCCGCATCTCGTCCACGCTCTAGATGCCCGCGCCGCCACCGAAAGCACCACCACCACGTCCTCCCGAGCGAAAATCACGCCCCCGTCCACGGGGGAGCTGGAAGACGTGCCGCCGTGGGGGCAGCAGGAGGACGCGAACGCGCTGCCGTGGCGACCACGAGTTCCACCTCCGCAAGCCCAACAGCGCCAAGGCGGTGCTTCTCATGGACCGGCGGGTTGCGCTCATCACCTCCGCGAGCCCGACAACGTCGTCTGCTGCTCCTCGCCCTCTTCCTTACCCATGCTGTGCGCGGCGCCCTCACGTATCGCCGCCCGCACCCATTGCGGTCACTCTGGTCAAGTTGGGGCGGAGGGCGCTCACGACTTGCGAGGACAAAGGAGCTGCCGACGCTGCATGGATGCCTTCTTCATGCCGGGGTCGCCGGGGAGCTTGCGGACCAGCTCCGGAACGAGCTCGGCCACGCTCCGTCGCGTGCGCAGACGAGGTGTTCGATGAAATGACTTTGAGAGGGTAATCTTATCAGAATAGAGAAGAGGTAATTGTATGCAATGCAAACCAGGCAACCAAACACACTCGATACTAGCCAGGCTTAGACAATGCAAGCAACCAAATAACTACATATTGGCTTGTCTATACTCCCACGGTAATCGTTGTGTTGTTCCGTGCAATATGCACCATATGCATGGCCAAACCAAATAGATCAAGGGGGAAAAAGACGATAAAAGAACTAGCTGATAACCCAACCCTACTTTCGTTGTTCTACTCTATCAGATCCACACCCACCGGCCACCGGTGATGGCATCATCTTCAAGGGAAAATGATGCCACTATGTGTTAATAGTTCCTTCCAAAAAAAAAACTATGTGTTAATAACCACCCTTAGAAATAGAGACATTTTTAGATGTGCTTGGTAACATCAACCGTGGCTAGAATCCATCTTTAGTTGCGCGATTGGTAATGTAAGCTGTACCGTTCCTAGAAATTAGTGCAGCACAAAAAAATTATAACTCCTTAAATGAAGTTAGATAAATTTTATATCAAAACTGTATAGCTCAAGTGAGATTTACATTTTGTAGTTGATAATTTTCATTTAAAATTATTTAGGGTCCTAAATATATGATTTAAATTTTCAAAATATTAAATTTTAAACTTTAAACCGTTTAGGATACAGAACCGTCCTATATCAAAGTTATACCGTTGCACCCTGGGCAAGCTCTAAAATTTTATACTTGACTTTTTTTTTTTGAGATCATTTAGGTCCCTAGATATTTAATACAAGATTCATGAAAGCTAATACAAAAGGATAACATCATATACTTAATTATTTGGTCACTTGTGGCATGGTGTTTGGCTAGTGGGCTTATCCTATCACTAAAAAGTTGCTGTTTACAACCGACTTTTAATCTATAAAAAAATATTTTTACGGACGCATCGAAACACCAACTAACTTGATTGCATAATCACCTCTAAAAGTGGTTAGTTTTCTAGAGAGCCTTGGTAGAGTGGGTATCGGTCACAAATATCCTTAGAAATCTGACGGACCGTTGGTAAAAACAAACTATAGGGGTGTGCCTTTGACAGTGGCATAAGGGTTCTATTTAGATCTTATGGCCTAAAGTTTAACCACTAAATTTTAGATCACCTTAGCTCTTAGGCTCCAAACAAAAAATCTAAAGTGTTATGTAAAGTTTAGACCGACTCATAAAAACTTTAGACCACATAAATGATCTAACGTTTTAGTCATTAACTTTAGCCGTTAAACTTGAGATTAGATAATAATCCAAACATATAGACACCTTCTCCACCAATTTTTCCGCCAACCGTGCAGCTGCATTGGGGGACTGACGGTTGGTGAGTGTTTTGACCAAGTTGGGGGGCGTCGGCGTCAGCGCCACCGCATCACTGCTCACCAACCGTCTGTGGGCGTGGGAAGCATCTACGGGCAGTAGTAGTGACGTCAGCGGCTTGGTTTTGCCACGTGCTACTACTGTAGCAGTAGTAGTTCGGTGGGCAGGTAGCTCGGTGCTCATGGGGTGTTCGGATAAGCGCCTTGGCCAATCGTGGCCGTCCCGAATTGGGGCATGAGTCAAGCTCGTGTCGTGCGGCTCCAATTTTTCTTGTGGCTACCAACCCACTTTGGCTCCTCCTTTTCATATTATTCTATAGGGAATCGCTAGCGTCCGGACGCTAGCATCGGTTTCATGCTGCTTTGCTCTGAATGCCCCCGCCCAAGACTAGCAACTTGGCCCCATCCCCAACCTCGTCCCCATCGCCGCATAATCGAGCCCGCTTCCATTGGGATGCCCTGCATACGCGCTCGAACACGTCCGCACCTCGTCCCCATCTCCATCGCCATCCTCATCCCCATGCCCCATCCCTATCCGTTTGCCTCGCCCCCAGCAGAGCTACCCCCACCGTGCCACGTCGTGCCCCCGACGACGGCTC